TCCATGTATATGTTGTAGGGTGATTTGATAAATCGAATTCTGGGAAAATCCTAGGGATATCAATAACATTGCGTCGACAATAAAATTGACGAAAATTTAATTTAATTATTATTGGAATTCGAGTTTTGTGTGAGAGCGCTTCCTGTTTTGCGGGGTGGCAAGTGCTCCCGAGTCTCTTTTCTAGTTCTTTTCAAATTACTAGCGTAATTGGATGAAGTTTCGTCATCCCTTTTTATCATCTTGGAATGTCATGATCTGCAATCGGTAATAGCGTGTGCCTGGAACTTTTCTCGGGAACTTAGAATAAAACAAATTAAAGAAAAGAGGAGGACCTCTATTTCGTCACTCACAACTAGGGTTGCCAGATGTCCGGTATGTTCGAGGCCTGTCCGGTAAAAAATAAATGGTCATACCGAACAGAACAATGTCCTGTATATTGAGGAAAGTCGGTACTACTGGTCACAAGCGCCTACAAAAGTAGGCAAATGAAATCCCTCAAACACAAAACTAGCGCGCGCTCCTCGCTCGCTGCTAACCTGTACCTGCGGGCTCTCACTTTATGTGATGTTGATTAATAACCTAACCTATCCCCCCCCCCCCCTCGTTTGGGGTTGTCCGGTATTTTTTCACGACTCACCTGGCAAACCTTTTTTTTTGTCTGGGAAATGCTTTACGCATCCTTCAACCACTGGGGGATGTGGGACTCCTCCCTGTTCATTTCAGCCAGCTCTGTGGTCAGGTGAAATAAACAGGGCCACTAAAAACTAGACAATACTCCTGCACCGTCACCCAACACGCACTATGAGGACCGCGGTCCCCCTAGTGCATGCCGAGAGGGCGGGTGTGGTCGCGGCTCCCGTTTTCGAATGGCCGCGCACCCGCCAGGTGTTTGTCCGCGAACGGACCCACCCCGATGAAGATGCCCCGGAGCATCAACATCCTGAGAGCTTGTGCAATGCGAGCCCCCCCCCCCCCCCCCCCCCCCAGGACAGGCTCGCGGCGCTCACAACAGCAGGTTCTCGACGCAACAAAAGCATATCACATTAGGCATCGTAATTTTCCTTGAATATTAATTCATTGGCTTCTCCCAACTTCGTATACTTTTTGTGACTTAATAGAAAAAAACTTAAATTACTGATTTTTTTATTCATAACTGATCATTGTCCTCGGCCGCGTATCTACAGCGAAATAAAATCCAGCTTAAAGTAAATATATCGAAATCAAATGCATCAACGTAATCTCTTTGTTTGTTATTGTTTATAGTTTGCATCTATTTATATTATATTTTACGTATGTATTTTATTTTTGAGTAGTTTATGTAGGTGTATCAAATTAAGTACAAAAATATTAATATACTTTAATCGTCGTTATTTATAAAGGTTTTAAAAAAGCAATTTGCCCTATCGCCATACCATGTCTCTAACAATCGTTCAGGTTGACTGGTAGAGAATGCCTTTGGTTTTAAGTCCGCCGTTTGCATATGTATGGCATTAAAGTTTAAATAAATAAATAAATCGGAACTAATTTTATATAATTAATAATAAATGAATAATAATTTATTTTAAGAGGAAGCTGTAAATAAGCCTTTTATATTTCCTATTATTTTCCAAGTTATATTAAATTATAACTTTCTCTTTAGTAAGGAGATTTTACGCTCTTAGTAAACCTCATTTCACCACTATTATACATCAGCAGTGCCATCCTGTCAATGCCTTCCAAGTGCCACAAGATCTAACAATGTGCTAACCACTACATCTAGGTCCCATTTTTTAGGGTTCCGTAGCCAATAGCAAAAAACAGAACCCTTATAGATTCGTCATGTCCGTCCGTCCGTAGGTCACAGCCACTTTTTTCTGAAACTATAAGAACTTCACTGTTGAAACTTGGTAAATAGTATTCTTTGAACCGAATTTAGATTTTTACACAAAAATAGAAAAAAAAAATTAAATTTTGGGGTCCCCCATACTTAGAACAGAAACTCAATTTTTTTCTTTCATCAATCCCATACGTTTGGGGTATCTATGGATAGGTCTTCAAAAATGATAGAATGAGGTTTCTAATATCATTTTTTCTAAACTGAATAGTTTGCGCGAGAGACACTTCCACAGTGGTAAAATGTGCCCCCCCCCCCCCTGTAACTTCTAAAATAAGAGACTGATAAAACTAAAAAAAATATATGACATTACTATGCAAACTTCTACCGAAAGTTGTTTTGAACGAGATACCCTAAAAAATACCTAAATAAACACAAATCCATTAAAAAATATACTACGATTAAAACAGTGTATTTTTTAATGGATTTGTGATCAATCAACGAACTAAAATAACTTTTATATTATGTTACTTGCTGCTACGGAACCCTTCATGGGCGAGTCCGACTCGCACTTGGTCGCTTTTTTTGTAATATAGGTTGTTTGGTTGGTAGGTACCCCAAAAATACTTAAAGTTCATGCTATTTTTAACTTCAAAAAGTAGATTATTTAGTAGCCATCTACAAAATTCGTATAGGGCCATTCCACGTCACGTTTCACGTTTGTAAAATATAAATAAAATCTTTTTGCCTATTTAAGGTCTGCTGTTTCGTAAAATACGTAAATTGGTTGAATTATTAAGTAGTCCCTGGATTTTTCTTTAACAAAACACAAAATTATTTTACCTGTCCACTTTACGTGGAATGTCCCTATCTATATCTATTTTAAATAGATATTTATTTCTATGACGAGGCTTTCAAAGTTAGTTCCGAAACAGATACTTTCTTTTAATAATTTAAATAAAATATACGTTGTTGGATGGAGGTCCGAAGTGTTCATCATAATCATCATTAAAACCATATCAAAATTTAATCAATGAACTTACAATATTGACAAGGGATTGAAAGTAAAATGCATGCCAATTAAACTATTTACATAGATTTATTTATAACAATAAATAGGTACCTACTAAAAATATTTGAACAGGTCAATCATTCTGAAAACACACATTTTTTAACAATTGTTTGATCTTACCAGTCACACTCGGCTCGCATTTATTAATTTTTGAGTTTGATTGACATTAAATTTAATCGTAGTCTCTTGATTGCGCCCGTTAGTCTCATGTAGAAAATACACCTAAGGAATTCTCTTCACTTGAAAAAAATAGACACCAGTGTGTCCATCCTTATCATGCTCTTTATAGAATGAGGATGAAAAAACTTTATTGCAGTCACGTTTATGGGGATTCTGCTGTCAAATTCAGTTTTTAAGTTTAGAGAATCGAACCACAATCAGGCCCATTGCGTTAGTCAATAATAGTATATACATAGTTACAGGGCAAACACATGACGGATAAATATATAAACATTGTTAGTTGTAGAGAATCCTGTGACCACAATCTTTATAATCAAATTAAAATTAAGGTTTATTTGTATTTAATTCATATTCCTACTTAATTAAGGTATATCCAACTTTTTCAAATTATCGTTTTTAATAACGAGTTTAGAAATAAACGTCCCACCTTTAGTGGAAATCTGACTCGAAATTAAAAAAGTTGGATAATATTCAAAACTAAGAGTACATTCAACATTATTGAATTAGTACATGATGAAACTTTCTATAAGGTCGCGTTGTTTCATCGATAGTAAAATTTAATTATAGTTAATGCACTGTCAAAAACATGGTAAGTGTCCAATTTTGACAAATGGTTGTTTCTATGGGTTTTAACTATTATCAAATTTAATTATCAGTGAAACAAAGCAGCCTTAACAATTTATTAAAGAAAAAAATAGTTATTTAAATTTCTGTTGGTAATAATATAATTATTATCAGGGCATATATAGTATTAACAGAATGTGTTTACCACATATCATTACATTCTTTATACTTTATGCTGCTGATACATTGATTCTAATAAACTATTAAAATGCACAAAATAAATCATTTTCATTAATGGTAGTAACTTTTAGCTACGCTTCACACTAAACTTATTTAAAAATATAGTAAATATAATAAGGTCTAATAATTTCACATCTGTAAGTGTTCAATAATTTTGGAGATTCTTATCAAAACTCTGCATCTCATACTTAGCAATGACGTTGCACACCTCCATTTTCACTTTAGGTATCAAATTTGGTTGCAACTTTTTTACACTGGCAGCCATACTCCTGAAGAAAACGTCTATTTCATTGGTGTTCTCTTTCAAAACTTTTTCAATGAGTTTGTCTATAACTTGAGATCGTTGTTCTGGTGTTTTGGGATCTTCTACATATCTGACTAGTTTCGGCCCGTTCAACACTATAGGTTTTGGTAGTATTTTTATAGGTGGAATGTTTTTGGGCACAGGTATGGCTTTCTTCCTACCAGCTCCTTTTCTCGTCTTCTTGGGTGGCTCATCATCTTTTTCTTGAGGTTCCGGCAGAATTTTGTTGAGTGGTTGAACTATTTCAGTCTCCTGTGGTGTATCAACGACTGTGATCTGGAAAATACATAATAGGTTTTTAAACTTTTTTTGGCATACTTCAGTTTTTAGTCTACATTGGTGTCGATTCTAGCATGATTCTCTAAACCTAAACTTAAATTTGACAGCAATATATCCTTGTCTATCTCTATACTAAATGAAAAGGAGAGACTGATGTTAAATTTAGTTTTAAGTTTAGAGAAAGCTAATAAATCAAAATAGAGGTTTGGTGAACACGAAAAATTTTTTTTAGTTTATAATTGAATTTAATAAATCACAACACAGGTTTGGTGATTATTAAAATATTACAAACCAATAATTTAAATGTCATAACATTTGTTCTAAGTTATAAAAACCAGTTTTAAACAATTAACAGACACTAAAATACTTTTTGCCTTCTACCTATCTACATACTTAATTAACAAAATCTACCTACTTTTATTATGGTAACTAAACAAATTTATACATACTTCGTAATACTCTTGGAGGTCAGTAATAACTTGTTGTTCAGCCCCATTGTGCGTGTCATTTTGTGCATGCTGCACATTCACCACCTCTATTTTGTTTAGAGGGTCCTCCAGCAACATCCCGTCAAGGAATTGGAGTTTCTCAGAAATTCCAACTTTAGTCTTGTGCATTGCACCTACTCTCTTGCTTCTCATATAGCCATCTCGCAGCCCTCGCCAGCGTTTCTTGCATTCTTCAACTGAAAATTGTAAAAAGTAAAGAAAGTTACAGTTAGGAATAAATAAGTTTATTATGGGTAAAAATAACAATGTATTTCCTTACAACATTTTGAATTGAAGGCATTCTGTCCTTTTCATCGCATTAAGAGCATGTTAAGGATACACTTCACTAATTGGTACCCATGTGATGGCAAAAGAGAGAAGACAGTTTCAAAGATGGTAGGCCGAGTTAAAATTGACAACTGGCTCATGCTGGCGCAGGATTGCACTTGATAGAACACACTGGAAAGAGCTGGAGGAAGCCTATGTCGGAAGGGTAATTGGATATCTCCAAATTCTATTTTTCAATTTAAAGAAAAAAGCATACAAAGGCTTAGTAAATAAATAAAAAAGGATACACTGCCTGTCTGTAAGTGCAGTGCTAGCAACACATTTGTTGTGCACTCAAATTAGTTTATTTTGATGTCTTGATTATGATTCTATGTTCACAGTACCCATTACATATAATTTAATGTTACCTTTTCTACTAAAGGTGACCTAAGTTTGCAAGTAATAGCTACATGAACTTCTGTAATAAACTACAAACAGAACTGTCACGATATTCATTCATTAAAACAAAGTAGGTACTTAGCTAGGCTGACTCAGTAATCTGCTACTTTCTTTTGCTGCAAGGTTTATAACAAATGAACAATACAAAAAGAATTATGTTAATATTGCTCACCAGGTTTCGATAATTCTTGTGCTATTTCTTTCCATGTATCTTCTCGAACTAAAATATTCTTTCTTGATGGAGCCGCCACATTATACAAGTAAGTGTGTGGTCTTACTAAATCTGCAAGCTTTTCGTCTTCTTCTGTTGACCAACCAAATGCGTTCAGCAAAGGCATTTTAGAGGTCCGTTTTCGCTTGCGTTGCGTCGTAGCGTCAAACAAAATGTCGGTATTTGTCTTTTCGCGAATGAAAATAGAGCGCTGCGCAATACAACGTCATAGCCGAACAATTGGATATCTCGTAAGCACGATGTTGATTGGTTGTTTCACTGCTCAGATGCGAACGTCATAGACGCACTAGCGACGTTGGCGTGGAGTGGACGAACTAAAAACATGGGTGCTGCCACCAAGCGACAAAAAGTAGAGTTAGTTACAAGTAAATGTAGCTATCTCAGTAAAGTTCTATGTATGCTTTGTGGTAAATGTTGTGTATGATTACGAATAGATGTCGCTGCAAGAACAGACCATTAAAAAACACGACTGCCATCCCTAAAGAGTATAAGCTATCAAATAATGAACTATAAATTAAATGGAGTATATTTTTTAATGCAGTCAATGTTTTATAACGAGAAGATGTCTGCCCGACTGCATAGAAAACATAATAACTAACATTCCGTCCTATTCGGAAAATAAAAAATATTATTTAGCTCAAATGACGGAAGTTTTTTAGTTATTAGTTCAATGTGTTGTGTTTTTTCATATTTAACCAAGAATTTCATGTGGAATCATTTGTAGGACAGGTCTTTAGTCCTAAATACATGTCCTTCTTATCTATCCTACTTTAAAATTATCAATGCGAAAGTGTGCATGGGTGTTCGTTTTATTTTTTTACTAAAAACTACTGAATGGAATTGGCTATTAAGATATTTGGTACGCATATATTTTATGACCTGGATAGAGAAATAGGATAGTTACTTTTTATCCCGGAAAAAGTTCAAGAAACTAAAATTAACGCCACTTTTAGCTTTTGCCTGCGTCTTGGATATTTTTTTTGAAAACTATAAACAATGCTACAAATTGCTGTGGTTTACTGTAAGTAGCTTTTTAGCGGGAAAGATCAGAGATTAAAAAATGCGTGTTCATCTGGGTTTGTAAAAAGAGAACAGAAAGAGTTTTGCCTTGACCTATTATTTATTAGTCGCAAAACCAACACCTAATTTAAACATAACATAAAAGTACAGTAAGTGCATATTGGACGATAAAATAAAAAATCGACTTCAAAATCGAAAATGGAACTAAAAAGTAAAAAATAATATCTGGTTCATGATTTGGAAGTCGGGCGGGTCAAGATTGAAAGACGTACCTATTACCGAGAAACGAAAATCTATTTAATGTTTTAATCTTGATCCCGCCTGACTTCCAAATCATGAACCAGATATTATTTTTTACTTTTTCGTTCCATTTTCGATCTTGAAGTCTGTTTTATTTTTTGTTTAAATAAATTTTATTTCATCCATTTTAGTGAAAATTACATCGTCCAAGTAAACAATAACAAAATTGACGGAGAAATCCGTGAACATACAAAAAAAAAACCTCGTGCGTGCCTTTAAAATTTTAAGGTTTAGAGAAATCGAGAGCGATTTCTCCGGATTCCACCATCACATGCTGACTTGGTTCCAATGGGACCACATCGGAAGTGCACTCTTTCGAATAAAAAAAGAATTTTGGAAATCGGCCCACAATTGACGGAGAAATCGGTGAACATACATAAAAAAAAACAGTCGAACACAGAACCTCCTCCTTTTTTGAAGTCTGCTAAAAATAGCTAATCAACAACAGTACCCCTAGCTCGAACCAATATTACGAATTTGAATAGTTTGCGAGTGCGAAATGTCATTGTCAAATGTGTACTGATTTTTAGTGGTACAGATTACCTTATCCGCCGCCGCCTTTTGTAGTTTGTGCCTAAAGAACATTAGTAATACAGTAATAGCGAATTCGAGTGGGGAATTCGCTATGCCCCCCACAGAACACCTCTTTCTGTGTTCTGTGGCCCTTCCTCTCTCATGATCTCTATTATGATTGATTTTACACGACATCTCAAGAACTAAAGAGTGTAATGTATTCAGGGTTCATGTATGTATGTGTTACAGTCGAAAGCTTCGGCGCTCCTAGGTTTGACTTGTCAATCCTCAGGTCTGACTTGAAGTTTGAGTCTTAGTCAAAACTCAAACTTTTCGGCCTCTGACTAAAAGATGTTCGTCAAACCTAGGAGAAACTAATTTGGTTAGGCAAACTTCGAAACTCAATTTAATGACTATTCAATTCAAGCATTAGAATGTCTTAGTTTGTTAGATAAGGTGAAATAAAACGTATTTTTTTAATGTTTTTTGTTCGATGTTTTTATAATTTTAATTAAAAATTATAGTCTTTATTCGTACATGGTGATGAGGCATTATGACATTTGGAAATGCACAATCCGTTAGCTTCTTTTTTAGTTACAATTTTGAAGGGCATTTTTATTTCAATGTTATTTTATAATGCCTTATCCCTTAAATTTAGAATCTTTTGCATTTTCTGTAGGAAAAATCTTAAAGTCGGACACGTTTGAAAGCTACAAATACAGTCTACGTTTGGCCGAGTCTGTCGATCGCTTTTAGGATCAAGTAGGTAATGCCTAAACAGATTATTTTGGTTTCGACGTTTGACTGAAAAGTTAGGAAATTCTAGGTTTGATTTAGCCAAAGGTCGAATTATGAATACATTTTGGGATTTGCCCAAACCCAGGATAAACCTTTCATTCCGGGAAGAGACTGCGCATCGTCCTTTGACTATGACAATTATGTACAATTCTTGTTAAATGCATTGGCTAGTTTGGGTGGCGAGTGCATTAGCTAGTTTCGCAAAGACGCAACTTGCGCTAAGCATCATTTGGTATGGAGTAATATTCTGAAAAGCATCTCTATAAAATCTTCTTCAGTGGTGGTAACGTAATGTTTAACATGACTGTTTAACTATTACGTGATACGATAAGATAAGGAAGCGCGCCTACATCCGCGTTGTTTGCGCGGTGGGTTCAAATATTTTTAAGAGATTAAGAGGGGAGGCGGGCTGTGTTTTTTACTGTGTATGATTCTCGACTGATTCCTTCTTGATTTTTATCACAAATAATCAATAATCAAAATCATTTATTCAGTTTAGGCTGTTACAAGCACATATGAATGTCTAGAAACTACGCCATCGGTTCGTAAATCTACGGCGGGAGACCTTGTACTGAGAAGAACTGGCAAGAAACTCAGCAAGGGCTGTTTTTTTTCTCCCTGTTTTATCATTTACAGAGTCGTCAAGTTGAAAAATGACTTCAGAGATGATTCATGAAGTCACCCTTCATTACATAATGTGAAATTATACATTAATTGTACACCTGCATTTTGATTGCTGCGTCACACAGCATAAATACAAACAGAGTTATTTATAATAGGTGTAATTAAACATTTACATCTGAAATATCAAAGTAGTTAGGGCAGACTCATCTCATAATGAAATGATTTTCATACATAAAATATAATTTTACTCATTCTATGCTCCTATCTATGTCCTCTTTATTTCGATAACTTGTGTGAAAAGAAACTAGAAGACCTCAAAAAAAAACTAATTTTTATTACCACTAACGACGTCTAGTGTGGAGATTTAATAAGCATTTACAAAAAAGGCAAAAGCATAGAGGCCTGGTATAACTACTTATTATTCTATGGGTAAAATTTCTTTTAAATATACCTATGTAAGTTTTGAGGAGGGAATCGTCGAGCGCCAAACCTCGAATTTTGCCATTTTTCCACGCAATTTTTAGCGATAGTTACTGTCGTCCCTATCGTAAGGTATTTACTAATGCTCGACAGCAATAGTTTATTTAAAATACCTATTTCTCAAATGTCTCTTAGCTCGCATCTGCTTTTAAAGATAGTTCCCCATGTCTCTCATAGTTCACCAGATCAAATGCGCGGCTCAGATCAAGAAAACGAATGAAAGAATGAGTACACCAGCTATACTCTAAGTGTGTTCCGCGGAACCCTAGGGTTCCGTGATACCTCTGTCGGGGTTCCGCAAGAATTTAGAAATAAAAAAATCAAAACACCTCTCTCTGGTCGCTCCGCGGCTGTGCGGACTCCGCGGCCGCGCGGAGACAAAACGCTATGAATGTTATTTATTTATTTATTTGTATTTGTATAAGCTTGTGTTACATTAGCTGGTACAATATCTCATAAGTTTGGTCTCAACAATTTTATACTTGTACAACGCGTTCGCTCTAAGTTT